AGTACTCCTCTAATAGTATTCCAATCAAATACTCAACAAGAATTCAAGTCATAACCTAATTCTAATAAACTCCACCTTGACATGAATTACATTGCAAGGAATAAAACTAGACTGTCCAACTCCATCAAAATTCTCCAAACAAAACACTCTACCAAACTACTCCACTTCTTCTTGTGAACAAATTTCAAGCCCTGCTTACTAGTAGAATTACCTTGCACTTCAACCTTGCTTGAATCATCTCCTTCACCTCTAGCTCCAATCACAAGACTGCTTGAGTCACCATGAGCACTTCGAACTCCACCTGATTTTTCAAACCTACTCAAATCACTATGAGCAACATGATTAACAAGATCACAACTAGCTCTGCCTAAGCTATTCAAAGATTCCACAATATTATTGTTCGAATCATCATGGGTAACCCAATCACAACTGACTCCACATGAGTCACCGCTTATCAAACCATAAGTTGAAGTTGTATCCAAAGTGATCATCGAACTTTTCAAAATATATAACCAATCATTATGTTGCTTCTCCTCCAGGATCTAAACAAAAAATTCTGTCACAACAAAATAACTTATTGCGGTCCAAAAGCAAAACTCAAATTTCGTACTTGCCATCCTTTGAAACAATCAACCTTGTTCAAACCTCGCCTCAATAACCAATTTAGACCTCCCAAGAACCCGCTAAAAACCTTTAGTTCTGATACCACTTGTTATGTTTCGGACCAGACCTAAAATTACTTTGTTGAAAGTGGAACATCTTGGATACCAATTTGTTAAGAATTCAGCCAAATAAGTAAAGAACTAGAAAATATAAACAATCTAAAAATAATGGATCACAAAGGAAACAGGAGTTACACGGAAACCTAAACCCAAGAAGACCATAGGCTGAGGAGAATAATTCACTATAATCAATATTAAAGAGTTATAATAGATATCTTTGGACCAATAAGTAATTGGATGATTAGTCAATTTCGATAGGTATTGTACACCACATAGATATAACAAGAGAATTCCTAACATACTAGGAGAATTAATGCATGAAGTGTTCCAAATACAATGGGTAAAACCAATAATGAAGAATTTGAGATGAAATATGAGTCAAATTCACCTTGAACTCCTTAAAGCCATCTTCAAGTCTACTACTAACTCTCAATACTCCTCCAATAATATTCCAATCAAATACTCAACAAGAATACAGGTCACAACCCAATTTTAACAAAAGATGTAAGAAAAAGTGTAAATGTAACATGACTGTTTACACTTGGATTTTGCTATATGTGCAGAAAGCTTTTACAAGACAATCATACTACATATATATCATGATTGACAACAAGTTTGATATTCATTTATGTGGTAGCAATCTAAAATATTGATTTTAAACACATCCATTCCATTACTGTCCAGATTCCTTCCACCTAGGGGGATGTCATCCTTGGTGTCAACCAACCAAGGATATATACCTAGCTTAATTCTTTACAGAAAGTTGAGCTGTCCTATTTTTCATCTTTTTTCTTCCCTTGAGCTGTAATTTAATTTAATTAATTTAACTTCGTCCAAGCCCACTAAAAAAAATAATCGATTACAGCTAACAAATGACTGGCATTACATTTAGTGCATTTATATAAGAGTTTTACATCTTAGTGTATTTATATATTGATTGAATTTTTTTAATATTGTTTAATTCAAGAGTAATAAACAATCCCGTTATTGAATGTCACCCTAATTCACTCAAATTTTTTGGATTCGTCACTAGTTGCCTATCTAAATTGTTTAAGCTAATGTCCTATCAATTATAAGTAGTATCTAGATATTTGGTTCAATTGTTTCTAACTAAATTGAGAATTATTTGTAAATTGTTTAGTTTTCTGTCATTCTTTTAAAAGGCAAAAAAAAAAAAAAACTTTATTTTGATGAACTAGTAAAAAACAAGACCAAAAAAATGAATTAGGGAATACGTTTATGGACGTATTCAAAATACGCATCAAGGGTAAAAGCATCCGAGGCAAATGGGCTATATGTCAGGTTTATGCCCCAAATTAGGGGTTGGGATCTTGTTGATGCGTATTGAGTTCTAGAGAATCAAATTGGATCTATGAAAAAGGAAAGAAAATCATCTTCTTTGGACGTGACAATTTTTTTTTTCTTTTTACGCATTTCATAACCTACTTTCCATCTTTTGACTAGTTTTAGGGTTTGACTCGTGTACTATAAATATGTGGCTCCTCTTTCAGTTTAGTTTAAGGGAAATTGCTGTGTCGTTGTATTCTCTTCACATTGTCAATTAATAATACATCTTACCTCTACATTTAACTCTCTTTTCTTCTTTACTTTAAATCTTGACATATATTATTATATTGTTGAAATACATATTAACTTCATTCTTTACAACCCCTCGATCTCAACAAGTGGTATCAGAGCTTGGGTCTTCTGTGGATTGGTTGAAGTTTTTCAGAGATGGCTTCCATGAAGTTTGATATTCCGCTGCTCAATCGCAATACAAGATTTTTGTTGTGGCAAGTAAAGATGAGGGCTATTTTTGTGCAGTTGGATTTGGACGATGTGTTGCTAGGTTTTAAGAAGATGCCAGTTAATTGGACAATGGAGGAGAAACAACTGAAGGATCGAAAGGCTTTGTCATTGATTCATCTTCATCTATCCAACAATATTCTACAGGATATCTTGAAGGAGAAAACGACTGCTGCTTTGTGGTTAAAATTAGAGCAGTTGTGTATGACCAAAAGTCTTACTAGCAAACTGGCTTTAAAGTAGAAGTTGTATTCCCATTGCATGGCGGAAGGAGGGTTGTTGGAAGACCATATTTCCATGTTCATAGAAATTATCGTAGATTTGGAGACATTAGAGGTTAAATATAATGAAGAGGATCTAGCCTTGATCCTGTTATGTTTACTATCGGGCTCTTATGCATCGTTTCGGGACACCATATTATACAGTTGGGATACGTTAACTATAGACGATGTCTATGATGCATTGCACTCAAAGGAGAAGTTGAAGCATCTGGTTGGAGCTACATCAAGTGATGGGGAAGCTCTTGTATCTCATGGTGGTTGACGAAGGAACGGATTTAGAGAGAGCAGCAATGTGTATTGCTTCTACTACAGATGGAGAGGACACTTGAAGCAGGATTGTGAGAAGTTGCAGGCTAAAGATGATTTAGCTGCAAATCATAGGGGACAATCATGGAATTCGGACAAGACTAATGTGATTGAGGATTTATCGGATGGCGGAGATGTGATGTTGACTGTGGTTTATGACATGGAATCTAAGCCTGATGAGGAGTGGATTCTTGATTCGGCATGTTCGCACCATATGTGTTCCGATAGAAATTTATTTCAGACATATGAGACTGTTCAGCAATGTGGAGTTGTAATGGGGAACAATGAGTCTTGCCGTATTACTAGAATCAGTCGAGTCAGATTGCGGTTGCAGGATGGGACGGTCAGAATACTTGGTCAAGTTTGACATGTTCCAGATCTAAAGAGGAATCTCTTCTCCCTGAGTATTCTGGATGCAAAAGGGTATAAATTCTCTGGTGGATGTGGAGTCTTGAAGGTTCAAAGAGGTATCCGAGATGTACTGGAGAGACGGAAGAGATCCCAATTGTACATATTGTAGAAAAGCACAAAACCAGTTTTGAGACATCGAGATAAGTTTAGTACCTTGATGGATATACAGTTTGGTACAGTACCTCTTGTGATGGGCTCTGGGTCGGTTCAGAACACTGCTAGGGAGAGCGTTGTTGATTCTGCTTTGCCACCAATTTCAGCGGATGCACTGTGTTCAAATGTTAGGGATGGACTCATGGAGCGTAGGTACGGTGGTGTTATTGATGTCTGTGATGCTTTTGGGATTGTTGAAGGTGACAGTTCTGACAAGAGGCCTTTTCATCAAGCACTTGGTTTGGTGTCTGCTACAGGATGTGCTTCGACCCTATTTGGTCAATAGTAATTTCTTGGTGAAATTTTGGAAACCCAGGATTTGGGTTCAGGTGTCACTTGTGGATGCCTTGTAGGGTAAAATGGTTTTGGTGATGGAGAGTTTGGTTACTGTGTTGAGGAGATTAGCTAATTCATTTCGATGCAGATGAGTTTATTTCTCAGGTGGAGAAATTTTGTTAAGTTTCGCTCGTTGCACTAGAATTTTGGTCAGGGTGGAGATCGTCAGGTTTATGCCCCAAATTAGGGGTTGGGATCTTGTTGATGCATATTGATTTCTAAAGAATCAAATTGGATCTATGAAAAAGGGAAAAAAAATCAACTTCTTTGCACGTGACAATTTTTTTCCTTTTTATGCATTTTGTAACCTACTTTCCATTTTTTGCCTAGTTTTAGGGTTTGACTCTTGTACTATAAATATGTAGCTCATCTTTCAATTTAGTTTAAGCGAAATTGCCGTGTCGTTGTATTCTCTCCAAATTGTCAATTAATAATACATCTTGTCTCTGCGTTTAACTCTTTTTTCTTCTTTACTTTAAACCTTGATATATATTATTATATTGTTGCAATTCATATTAACTTCATATCGCGTCATTAACTTCATTCTTTACAACCCTCTGTCTCAACATTATGTATATATAAGTAACAAAATGTTAAAGGGGGAAAAAAGTGGTGTGATGTACATGAAAGTGCGTGCGCAACCAAGTAAAAATATTGTAATACTTGTCACTAGGGAAAATTATTTTTCCCTCTCACTTAATCTTTTGAATTTATGCTTTGGCAGTGGGTTTGGCCCATAATATATCTCATTTTTATAAGTTTACTTGTAATTTCACCAACCCATGTTTCTTCTTTGGCCTTAAAACAAAAGATTCTTTTCTTCCAATGCTTATGATATAAACAGAAAAAGTAAGCACTTTAATCCTCTAGAGATTATCTACTTTGCCCATCTGGTTGGGACACCGATGCCCATTTAACAAGCAATTAAAATTCCAAAGAGACAATATATATGGATCTATTCCAATAGCCAAAATGATTGCAGTTTCAATTTGTGTAACTTCTAATTAATTATCTACTTTCCTCAGCTTTACTTGCTGCTCTTTGCTTTCTCTTTCTTGATCAGTTTCAGAAATCATGCAATGAAAGGAACAGGAAACACAATCGATTATTGCAAAAAAAAATTGAATCTCAGGATTTTCTCTATTCATCAAGCTTCTGGTAATGAAACTGAACAATTGCATTATTTTCTAAATGATTCATTATGGTTATTATTCTGAAATAGTTTCTTGAATTTAATCGACTAGATTTCTGTACATTTTTCAAAATTTCTGCGCTAGCAGCAGCTTTCTCAACAAGTCCGTAGCTGATAATCAACACACAGAGCAAAGGTATATATGTCTGTTATGCAGATTTATTTCAGTTTTTTAGTTTGGTTAATCTTTTTCTTAGTGTTGTAGAAATTTACCATTAGTTCTAGGTCAAGAAAAAGTTAATCCAAGTGGAATCTAATTCTGGATAACACTATTAGCTGCCTCGTGATGCAATGAAGCATGGAGAAGTTGATTAACATTTTAGAACTCGTTGAATCAGAATTTGAATATTAAGAATTGGACACTATATAGAATAAAATCTCTCAATGTTTTATTTCATAAGAATTATCAACAGAAAAAACTTATCTCAGTTACTGTGATATTGAAGGGAATATATGAAATATTAACGTTCTCTAATATTTCCCTGACCTTATTTTTTTCCCTCTTTTTTAACAGTTTCCCTCTTTTTTCATAAAGATGAAATAAATTTGTAATTAAATTCTTTTCTAATGGTTGATTATTAATTAATAAATTTCAATAGATTAAGATTAATCCTTTATAACTGCATTTTATATTTTTATATTTTCCCGGTGCGGGTTTTTCCTTTTTCGTTGTTGCATGGGGCCATTGTGGAATTTCATTGTTATTTTTATCTTGATACGTATGGATGACTTTTATTCGTAAAATTGCTTGGATACGACTTCAATTATTTCAATTACTCTGAGTCCATAAGTGCAATATTTTGATGATTATATACATTTTTAAATGAAATTTTATAAAAATCCTTTAAAATGAAAGTTTACAAAAGTACATAAAAACTTGTAAAAGTCTTTGAAAATTTAGTTTTATAGGAGTTTTTGAAAGTCTTTCCTTCATAATTCTATAGAATTTATAAAAGCCTGTATTCTATGATGAACTCTACAAAAATCCGTCGCTTGAAAAAAGTCCACTAACGATATTTGAAAGTTTGAATTGAATACATCCAACCTAATTTTGATCTTTTATGAGTTTGGATTATAATCCTTAACTTAGAAAAATAAAGGATTGTCCTGACCTAATAAAGTAAAAAAGGGGAATATAATATGAAGCCAAAATTCATCCTAATCAAATGTTCGGTCCACTGGCAACTTCTCGTGTAAAGAGCTTGCTACATTCTTTCTGAGATAAGAAAAATTGCAATTGACTCATCTAGCATATTTTCATCCAAAATCTTTTCAAAATTACTTTTTAGTTCTATTAGCATTAAGTCAGTACAATAAAAAAATTTAATCCAAATTCACAATTTTCATCATTCACACTTACCAAATCAACATCAAACGCCATTTAAAATCCACATGTTGTCCTAGCACATTCTCATTCATAGTAAGTGATTCAAAACAAACCCTATCAAATTCATCTCTCCCCTTTCTCCTTCTTTCTTATTAAAATAAAAATTAAGACTGCAAAGTATAGTCACTAATAAAATCCACTATTTGCCTAAAATTTTTGGAATGCTCTTCATAAATTTCAATATCTGGCTTCCTGTAAAAAACTATGGGATCGTCATAGACATTGTCACCCAAATTCAAAAACTCATCGACTTTAATTTCTTCATTGAAAATTGGCACACCATATTGTGTTAAAATCGGGCAAAATAACGAGAAAATATGGACAATATGAAAATAATGGGTCACAAAGAAAACAAGATTTATGTGGAAACCCAAATTTGGGAAAATCACGGGCAGAGGTGGAGAATTCACTATAATCAATAGAAGGAGCTATAAAGGATCTCTTTTGAACCAATAACTAATTGAACAATTGGTCCATTCCAATATGTATTGTACATGACATATTTATAACCAAATAATGCCTAACATATTAGGAGAATTAATATATAAAGAGTTTAATATAAGGTGAAGTTTCAATACAATGGGTAAAACCAATAATGAAGAATTTGGGATGAAATATGAGTTAAAAACTGCTAAAAAGGGAAATCATTCTCTTTATCTTTCTCGAATTTCGTCAAGACTTCTTCAAGTTTAATACCAACTCGCAATACTACTCTAGCAGTATTTCCAATCAAATACTCAATAACAATTTGGGTCATAACCCAATTCTAACAATCTCCACATTGACACGAATTTCATTAAAATGAATAAAAGTTAACTCTTCAACTCCAACCAAATTCTTAAAACAATAGCATTCCACCAAATTACTTCACCTCTTCCACCATGCCTCTCTGGGCGTACTCAGCAATTGTGAACTAAATTCAAGTCCTGCTTATTAGTAGGATTATCTTGCGTGCCAACCTTAATTGAATAATCCCGTTTACTTCAAGTCCAGTCGAGTCACTAAAACTACTCAAATCACCATGAGCACTTTCAACTCTACCTGAGTTGTCAAACCTACTCAAATTATCATGAGCAACGTGATCAACAAAATCACAACTAGCTCCACTTGAGCTACTGGAAGATCCTCCAATATTATTGTTTGAATAACCATAAACAACCCGATCACAACCGAATCCACCTGAGTCATCGCTTATTAAATCATAAGGTACAGCTACATTCAAAGTGATAATCGAACCTTCCAAAATATATAACCAATCCTTATGCTGCTTCTCCTCCAGCATTCAAACAAAAAAATCAACCGTAACAAAAAATCTTGTTGCGATCCAAAAGTAGAATTCAAATTTCATACTTGTCATCCTTGAAACAATCAACCTTGTTCAAATCTAGCTTTAATGACCAATTTCACTCTTCGAAGAACTACCAAGACCTTGGCTATCATACCACTAGTTATAATCGAGCCAAATAATTAAACAAGAAAATATGGACAATATGAAAATAATGGATCACAAAGAAAACAAGATTTACGTGGAAATCCAAATTCGAGAAAACTACAATAATGAGGAGCTACAAAGATCTCTTTGGACAAATAACTAGTTGAACAATTTGTCCATTCCAATATGTGTTGTACACCACATATTTATAACCAAAGAATACCTAACATACTAGGAGAATCAATGTATAAAGAGTTTAATATAAGGTGAAGTCCTAATACAATAGGTAATACCAATATTGGAGAATTCGGGACAAAATAAGTGTCAAAAAATTTTCAAAATGGGGAATCATTCTTCTTATCTTTCTTGATCTCCTTCAAGACTTCTTCAACTCTACTGCCAACTCCCAATACGACTCCAAAGTATTTCCAATCAATTACTTAACAAGAATTCGGATCACAACCTAATTCTAACATATTGTTGCCCGAATCCATACATTTGTCAAACTTTTCATGAACTTTCTTGCTGCAATCATTATCAAGATATTTTTCCATCTCAACATAAAAAAAGGTGAATTGTCATATTCCTAATCCGAACTAGCTATCTTATCAAATATCAATATTGTTTCATGTCCCCTTAAAATGGTATCCATTCATCGCTCGTGATGAAGAGGGATGAAAGGGTTATTATCATCGTCGAAGTAATCCTTCACCATTGATTCGTTTACTGCTATATCTCTTTGACTGTCAAATATTGTGTTAGAAATTCATTAATCTTGGTGCTTTGACACCTCCATTAGTTGATGCTATTGTTCCATTTCTATCAATTGTTAAGCTTGTTATATCTCCAACTCCATCAAATATGCATTCATTTACAAAGTTGATTATCTTTTTGATGCCATCTCAACAAGGAACATAGCTAAAGATTCAATACCAACATATACAACATAAATGTGAGGAAGATGATTAACACTTAAAAACTCGTTGATTCAAAATTTATAAAATAAAAATTGTACAGAATATGGAGAAAACATCTCTAAATATTTGTCAATGACAATTATTAATTAAAAAAAGAAAAACATTCAATCTAGTATCTATTTATTAAGATTTAAACTTCTATCTTAAAATGTCAAACCTTAAAAGGAGTAGTCCAAGTCTTTTTGCTATTTATTTCATATTTCTTTAAAGTGAAATTTATCCATTACATTCCTGCAAGATAGTGGTTCATTTGAGAATATTATTCTTGAAATCAAAGTGCTCATTTAAGTCATAATCAAATTGAATTGCTCATTTCAACTTAATGAATTTAGATACCATTTTAAGATTTGATATTCCATCTTAAATGATCAATCTAATCCATAGGAGTATCTCAAATCTTTATGTTATATTTTTGTTTCATGTTTATTCACAATAATAAAAATTAAAAATCGAACCTAGTTTATTATGCTTTACATACTTTTAAAAATAGTTTATTACTCTTCCAAAAAGATGTATTATTGTTTTATACAAAAACTACATTTTCTCTATTTACATTATATTTTTCATAAATATTTATATTTTTAATCTACATTTTTCATATTTATAACATAAAATTACAAAAAACTGCATTTTTCATATTTATATTTACAAAAACTACATTTTCTCCTGTCTAAATAACATAAAATTATATATCTAAGTTAAAAATATTTATATTTTTAATCTCTTTCAAGTTTTCCGAGAGAGAGAGAGAGAAGAAAAAGACCATCCACTACAGAAAAAATTACGCATGTACTCTTTAAAATACAATAACGTGTAAAATAATACGAGGCTAATAATCCTGCTCAAAGGAAATAAAAAATTTAATATTAGCCTAGAATTTAATAAGTAACATAAAAAATCGAATGACTTTTCTATATTTTTAATACAACATTAATTTTTTATTCATTTCAAGTTGGAGTTCTCAGAAAAATGAAGATAATATATTTTGTGAATCTCACACAATAAAAAGCCATCCATTAATGTAAAAAAAAAAAATGTTATAAAAGATCATTGTGTCTAGTATTAAAAATTTTGATAGATATTAAAATATTTTAAAATTTAAAAGGTACCATGTTACACGATATAATAAACATGTTGATTTTTTTTTTTTCTGTTTATTATATTACGTTTTTTGTTTTTGTTTTTGTTTTTTGCTACATTTTTTTTTTTTTCAAATAGAGATACTTTAAACTCTTTAGCAAATTATAATGACATATAAGCAAGTTCAACATTTTTTTAGCAAATAGTGTTTTTGTTGTGTTATAGTGAGTGTAGTATGCATGTAAATTATTATTTTAAAACACTAGATGTAATGTGTAATATATCCTATATACTTCCATGTCCCTTTTTTAGACGGTCTAGACTTGTTCCTTGGATCTTAAAAATTTAATGGCACTCCACAATATTTGCTTTAGCCACAAATGGATTAAACTCCTATTCGGAAATTCCATCATCTTTTTCAAATTTAAGTCTAACAATTAGTTCTTTAATATTCATTTCCTCTAACTCGTACTCACGATAATTCTTGAAATCAATAACCAGTTCATAAGAATTATCTGACAAATTAATGATGACAATTATCCGCTATCTTTGCTTACAAACTGTTCGTTTCTGAAAGTTTTCTCTCAGTTAAGCTTAGAAATTTTTCCCTTCAAACATTAAGGAGAAAATATATATATATGAATTTTGGCAAGGTCCCTCGCTATGCTCGTGTGTGATTACTAGACTCTTACTTCAATAGCTTCCACTAACATTGCTTTTCTTCTGGTAATATCTCCTTGGTTAGCTTGGAAGTACTAACTGAACTCCTCAGACAAAAATAGAGCTCATAATGGCGGAGTCCATTGTCGGCCACTTTGTTGAGAAGCTTGCAGATTACACTATTGCTGCAATTTCTCGCCAATTTAAATACATGTTTCGCTACAATAGGAACATTCAAAATTTGAGGTCTAAAGTGCAAGATCTCGAAAATAAGAGAAATGATGTGCAATCATCAGTGGATGGTGCAAAAAGAAATGCGTTAGTTATTAAATCAGAGGTGGATGCATGGTTAAAAAAGGCTGATGACTTAAAGAAAGAGGCTGATGAAGTTTTGAATAGCACAACAAATTCTGAAATGCGATGCCTATACTTTAGGTGTCCAAATTTGAGGACCCGTTACTTGCTGAGCAGGAATGCCACAAAGAAGACTACTGCAATTGTTGAGCTCCAACAAAAAGGTAAATTTGATGAGGTGGGCAGGCGTGCACCATTAACGTTGTCGTCTTTCCATGGGTCTGAGGCTTTGAAGACAAGGATATCAACTAAGGAGGATATCATAAATGCTCTAGAGGACAAAGATATCAGCATTGTTGGGATATGTGGCCTGCCTGGGGTAGGTAAGACGACAATGGCAAAGGAAGTAATGACTCAAGTCAAAGGTGGATTATTTGATGAGGTTGCCATGGTAGTTGTTTCTAAGGATGTGGACATAATAAGAATTCAGGATAAACTTGCTGACATGCTCGGTTTGAAAATTGATGAAAAGACCAATGAAATTGCTAGAGCTACTCGACTTGCCGAAAGACTTACTCAGGATAATAAAAAGAGAATTCTTGTAATATTAGATGACGTATGGACAGACATTGATTTGAAAACATTAGGAATTCCTTCATCAAATCGTCCTGAGGGGTTGAAAATTCTATTAACATCACGCTTTGAATATGTCTGCAAAAGGATGGGAGCTCAAAGGAACATTGAAGTTGGAGTATTGCCTAGAGAAGAAGCTTTTGCACTTTTTCAAGATGTGGCAGAGATTTCAAAGATATCTAGTATCACTACTGAACTGAAGGCCATAGCCGAACAAGTTGCAGAGGAGTGTAAAGGTTTACCTTTAGCACTTGTGATTGCCGGCAAAACACTCAGAGACAGTGAACTGCGTGTATGGAGGAATGCACTTAATCAACTACGGAATTCTCAACATGATGATGTGGTCTACTCAAGTATAGAGTTGAGCTACAACTATTTGAAAAGTGATGAACACAGATCCTTGCTTTTGCTATGCTCTCTTTTCCTTGAAGATGAGAGCATCCCAATTGAAAGTTTAGTTAGATATGCAAGGGGGCTAGGACTGTTTAAATATACTGAGACATTATTAGATACCAGAGATCGGACATATGCAATCTCTGATAATCTAAAAAGTTGTCATTTGTTACTATCAGGATATAGGGAGGAGGAGGTCAAATTGCATGATGTTATCAGAGATTTTTGTTTATCGATTGCATCTAAAGGTGAACATAGGTATTTGGTGAAACATGATATAAGGACAGAGTGGCCAGAACATGATAACCATGAATCCTACAGTGCCATCTCACTAACATTTCAACGGAGGATTTTGCTACCCAGTCGGTTACAGTATGGGAACCTCAAGTTCTTACGGGTGCGATGTTATTCGAGAGGAAGGAAAATTGACATAACCGGAGAATTTTTTTATTATATGCAGGAACTTAGAGTTATTGATTTCTCTGGATTTCAGATTCGATCACCGATCCGACTGCCGCTGGGTCTCCAAACTCTGTGCTTGAACGACTGTATTTTAGAGATTGAAATGTCATCCTTTGGAAGTCTAAAGAAGTTGGAAATTCTCACATTCTTGGATTCTTCTCTCCCTGTTGATTTTCCCCGTGATAAAATGGCAGAACTTAGCAACCTAAGGTTATTAGATTTGAGGTTTAAGAAAGGTCCCTGCCTACTTCCCCCTGGTTTTTTGTTCGGTATGAAGAAACTAGAAGATTTGTATTTGGGACGTTGTCTCTCCACAAGATATGAAGAAAAAGAGCACATTATCGAAGAGCTAAGTTCATTGAAGGATCTCAACACTCTTCAGATTATCACAGATGATACTCGGGTTCTGTTGCAATTATTACAAAGTTGCTCTGAGAAGCTCGAGAAGCTGGAAAGATTTCAAATCTACAAAAGTGGGATTGATCCTTCTTATCGTTTTCATAGGGATTTTCGAAGGGATTTGAAGCTCGAAAATATTGACCGAAACATGCTTTTGGAACCTAGAATTAAGTCATTAATGAGAAGAAGTGACAAACTTTTTCTATCAAACGTGATAGGTTGGAACAATCCAGTCATTGAGTTGGTTGAAGATGGTTTCATTAACTTGAAGAGTTTGGAGCTACACCGTTTGGATTCTGAGTATCTTATTGATGCTGCAGGCTCCATTCCAAGTGGCATGTTCGGCAATTTGGAATCTCTGGCATTGGAGAATATGCATTATCTGAAGGCGATACACAATGGGAATCTTCCAAGGATGGAACATGTGACGAGGGGTGTCTCGGAACCTGCACTGTTCTACAACCTTAAACAAATTATAGTTTATGATTGTGCTAAAATTAAAAGATTGTTTTCGGAGTCAGTTGCAAAATGCATGGTTAATCTCCAAAGTCTTTATTTATGGTCATGTCG